GTCAGCGGCAAGCACATGTGCCGAGCTTGCGGTGTCTCAGAAACACGTGTGACCTATTACGCTCTCGCCGGAGACGTCACATCAAAGCAGGCGTCCGCAGGATGCGAGGTTTTCTCGAGAGGGCAACATTTGGGGGGGAAGGGGGGGGGTAGGTGGATTTGGTGTTAACAGTGGCCTGAAATCGCCAGAAGGGAAGGATCACTTTGGCCCGGGTAGGGTAATGGGCCACGGTCAGAATCTGAATATTTATTTATACTGGAGGAACCCGATGAGCTATAATGCTCTTTTTCACAGATGTCCAGTAGGTTCACAGGGCGCGAGGCAAGCAGGCAGGAAGTGACCCCCGCGTAAAAAGAACAAGTCATGGTTAAGTGGCCACTATGTGGAGAGACGGTGGAGACGGTAGTTCGGCCACGGGAAGAGTGAGTGGGTTACGACGGTGGCCATGGACCACGGCGCGTGGGTCACGGCTACCACTGACACAATTGGCTCACGGTCGCCACTGGGACTGAAAGATGATTGGGTCATCGTGACCCGGTACAGGGTGGCAATCGCGCGCGCGGTCGTTGGCTGCTGCAGGCACGCTCCAGCAGCGCGTGTTGCAATTTTCAAACGGCGCCCGAGGAAGTTTCGTGCAGCATTTGCGCCGATCCCTTCGCAGATTCTCAGCGCGCGACCGTTCCGCCGCAAGCACACACACGCCGTGTGTGTGCTTGTGTGTGTGTGTCTGTGCAACACGTGCACATTCACTGCGGCAACATCACTTTGTTATACTGTACTCCTACGTTCTGCCCCCCCCACCCAACCCACGCAAACGCTTTCCCGCCTTCGCTACAACAAAAAAACAACTCACTGACCATCACCCCACGTGGTGCAGCAAGGTCAAAAAATCATCCCCAAAGACCCAAACGGCGTCGGGGGAGAGAGGGAGAGGAACGGGGGGGAGGGGGGCAGGCTTCCATCCAGCAGTGGATGTCGACAAGAGCTGTGCATATACACGCGGCGCAATTCATATTATGGCATTAAACACGGGGTACGGCCAAAAAGGCGTGTGACTCATTCTAATAAAGGGCACACGGCCATGCATAACCTACAAAACATGCCACGCGTAGCCGCAGTGTGTGTGATGTGTGATTTGAGTGTGTGTGGTTTGAGTATGTGTGTGTGTGATTTGAGTATGTGCGTGTGTATGGTTTGAGTGTGTGTGGTTTGAGTATGTGTGTGTGATTTGAGTATGTGTGTGCTTTGAGTGTGTGTGGTTTGAGTGTGTGTGTGATTGTGTGTGTGATTTGTGAGAGTGTGTGTGTGTGTGTGCTTTGTGTGTGTGTGTGATTTCCGACGGAGGACCTGACTTTGATTCCGCCAATGTCTGTACCGGTCCCAAGCCTTTCCCCTCTAGGTAGACTCAGACGTACACGGCTACCTGGTGCTGCGTGTAAAACATCAGCACTGCGGAGTCACAAAGCCGGCCACACCACCCACTCGTCCTCCTTTGCTGACATCAATAGGTGCTCGCTAACATCCCTTGCCACAAACAGCCTGCGTAGTGGGCTACACGAGGGGTCTCTTGGTCTTTGAGTGAGTTTTGGGGGTGTCTCCGGTCAGAACGTACGAGGGGGGGGGGCAAGGCAGCATCGGGTAACACGCAGAGCGAAGCATTCAAACAAACAACACACACACACAGTGGCGATTCAGCACGCGCAACGGACGTGAAGGTGAGCACCACGTCCACAACGGCGTCCGGGGGCACCCGACTTGACGGGGCACTCTCTGCGCTCGGCGATGGCAAAGCGCATACGCACGTGTGTGTGCTACACGTGTGTGTGTGCTACACGTGTGTGTGCGTAGCACACACACGTGTGTGTGTGCTACGCACACGTGTGTGCGCAGTGTTCTGCGCGTTTTACATTGTGCCGTGCATGTGTGCGCGCGTGCGTGCAAGGGTGAAGCGACGGCGCAGTGGTTCCGCACTCTGCGGCGCTGCGATAACTCCCGCCCGCCACCTGAGTTCGATTCGCGGCCACGGTTAACATCAGTGGCGCGAGTGGTACCCTATCGGCACGGTCGGCTACGTACGGTGCGAAAGAAGTTCAACATACATACATCCATGGACCGGCCCTGGGCTACACACAATGCCACCTGGTGCTGTGTATAAACAACATCGGCGCGAGGGATACAGAGGCGGCCGGATGTGATGCTGACGACACCACCGCCTTTCGTTCGCCACGCCGGCCTTAATAGGTGCTCGCGAACAGCACTTACCCGAGCAGTATACATTGACGAGACGGAGGGGGGGGGGGGGAGACCATAGGATCATTGCACATGTATGTGCGTGTCAGAGAAAGTGTGTCTTCTGAACACGGTGCCATCGGGGAGTGAGTGCGACGCCCTTATGTCATTGGCAAACGCTGAAACAAATGCAAGTGGCACTTAACACGCGTGTAAATACACACACACACACACACGTGTAACGAGACGCACACACGCATCACTCACACACGTGTAAAGAGAAGTACATATGCAGCACACACACGCACACATACAGCACATAAACGGGTAGAGAGAGTCGCACACATGCAGCACACACGCGCGCACATACAGCACACGTGTAACGAGACACACTTGTAACGGAAACGCACACACGCAGCACACACACACCTGTAACGAGGCGCACACATGCAGAGCATATACATATAACCAGACGCACACGTGCAGCACACACAAACGTGTAACGAAACGCAAACATCCAGCACACGCACGTGTAACAAGACGCACACGTGCAGCACACAGGTGTAACGAGACGCACACATGCAGCACACACACGTGTAACGACACACACACACACGTGTAACGAGACGCACACGTGTGTAACGACACGCAAATATGCAGCACACACGTGTAACGAGACGCACACACACATACACACACGTGTTACGAGACGCACACGTGCAGCACGTACACACACGTGCAGCACGTACACACACGTGCGAGTGGATGCATTGCTCTGTGCGCCACAGAATTTAAAGCGTGAAGCGTGTCGCTTCAACGTGGCCACGGGAGTTTGACAGCAGTGGACGACGCTTCCCGGCCTTTGGCAAGCGCCCCGCCGGCAGCTGGGGCACTTTAAAAACCCGAGCGAGCAACGAAATGTCGCGCACAAAGACGACGAGCGAGATCCCCCCCCCCCCCCCCCGTTTAGCTGCCAACAGACTGTTGGGGCAAGTGGCCTTGAAGCGAGCAGCACGGACACGGACACGCGAGCGGGTGCCCAAACACCACGCCCGCACAACACGCCCACAAACACACACACGTACACACACACAAACACACACCTACACACACAAACACACACACAAAAACACACAGAAACACACACACATACACACACAAACACACATACACACACAAACATACACACACAAACACACACATACACACAAACAAACACACAAACACACATATACACACACAAACACACACAAACACACACATACACACAAACAAACGCACAAACACACAAACACACACACAAACACACACATACACACACAAACACACACACAAACACACACACATACACACACACAAACACAGACACATACAAACACACACACACATACACACACAAACACACCGCACACAAACACACACACAAACACACACATACACACACACAAACATACACACAAACACACCGCACACAAACACACACACACACCGCACACAAACACGCCCATAAACACATACACACACACAAACACATACAAATACACACAAACAAACCGCACACAAACACACACAAACACACACCACACACACAAACACACACACATACACACACACAAACATACACACACAAACACACACAAACACACACATAAACACACACACACATACACACACAAACATACAGGCACAAACACACACATACACACAAACACGCAAACACACACACATACACACATAAACAAACACATACACACACACAAACAAACACACAAACACACACAAACACACGCGTAGACACACACACAAACACACAATCACACGCGTAGACACACACACAAACACACAATCACACGCGTAGACACACACACAAGCACACAATCACACGCGTAGACACACACAAACACACAATCACACTCGTAGACACACACACAAACACACACAATCACACGCGTAGACACACACAAACACACAATCACACACGTAGACACACACACACAATCACACGCGTAGACACACAATCACACTCGTAGACACACATAAACACACACAATCACACGCGTAGACACACACAAACACACAATCACACACGTAGACACACACACAATCACACGCGTAGACACACACACAAACACACAATCACACGCGTAGACACACACACAAACACACACAATCACACGCGTAGACACACACACAATCACACACGTAGACACACACACAAACACACACAATCACACGCGTAGACACACACACAATCACACGCGTAGACACACACAAACACACAATCACACGCGTAGACACACACAATCACACGCGTAGACACACACAAACACACAGGAGTCACCCACACGAGTCACCCCACACGAGTCACTCACACGAGTCACCCCACGTGAGTCACCCCACACGAGTCACCCCACACGAGTCACCCACACGAGTCACCCCACGTGAGTCACCCCACACGTGTCACCCCACACGAGTCACCCCACGTGAGTCACCCCACACGAGTCACCCCACACGAGTCACCCCACACGACTCACCCCACGTGAGTCACCCACACGAGTCACCCCACGTGTCATCCCACACGAGTCACCCCACGTGAGTCACCCACACGAGTCGCCCCACACGAGTCACCCCACGTGAGTCACCCCACGTGAGTCACCCCACACGAGTCACCCCACGCGAGTCACCCCACGTGAGTCACCCCACGTGAGTCACCCCACACGAGTCACCCCACACGAGTCACTCACACGAGTCACCCCACACGAGCCACTCACCCGTCAAGGCCAGCAGCGCGAGCTGCAGCCGCTTCGAAGGCTTCGGTCGAAAGTCGACGCCGACAAATCCCGCGCGCGAGCCGCCGGATCGAGCCTCGCCCGCCATGTGACAACTTGGCAAGTAGCAGCGGTTATTCAGGATGACGACGGGGACGACGTTGTCGATGTTGTTGACGTTCCACGCTGACGATGCTGCTGCTGCTGCAACTGCTGGCTGCTTTTGTGACGCCGCCGATGCCAATTCCTTCTTCGGACGAAATCGCGACAACCTCCTTGACACTTTCGCGCGAGGTCGCCGTGGATGCGGTCTTTGGAAAGAGGACGGGATGCCAACCAAAACAAAACGCACGCGCGCGCGCCCACAGACGCGCGCGCAAAATAACGCGAACACAAAAAAAAGCACCCTCGCACAGACGGCGGCCCAGGCAGCCGCGTTCTGTCGGCCGTTAGTTACTAGTTACACAATGCGACACACACACTTGCGCGCACAAAAAGTGTACTGTCTGAGCGTTAGGGGTATCCCATCAAGCGCTAATCCCACGCTGTAATCTCGCCATCTTTAGCCTATCGGGCGCGGTGGGTGCCGTAACGATGTGCGGAGAGACGGGCATTGGCAACGGGTCTCGCCATGAGCCACGACATGATGATAGTGGTTGGTGTTGGTGGTGGCGATGATGATGATGATGGTGGTGGTGTCTTCTTGCGCTCTGCTCTCTCTGCGCGCCGCGTCCCTCCGTCCGGCGCAGCGCGCACACCCCAAGGCAGAGAGGAAAGTATGCGGCGTCACGTGGTGTTGCCCCCTGCCGCCCATCCAACACACGCGCACGCGCGCACATGCACTCACGCACGTGTGTGTGCGTGTGTGTGCGCGCGCGCGCCCCACATTCACACACCCATAAGATACCCCACCCCGCCAGCCAGCCAGCCTCCCACCCAGCCAGCCAGCCTTCCACCCACCCAGCCAGCCTTCCACCCACCCAACCAGCCAGCCAGCTATCCACCCAGCTGTCAACACACCCAGCAGGCCAACCAGCCATCCACCCAGCCAGCCAGATAGCCAGCCGTCCACCCACCCAGCCAGCCTTCCACCCACCCAGCCAGCCTTCCACCCACCCAGCCAGCCTTCCACCCACCCAACCAGCCAGCTATCCACCCAGCTGTCAACACACCCAGCAGGCCAACCAGCCGTCAACCCACCCAGCCAGCCTTCCACCCAGCCAGCCATCTAGCCACTCACCCAACCGGCCACGGCGGCTCCCCCCTCCCCCCCCCCCCTTGCGGTCAACACACCCAGCCAGTCAGTTAGTCACTTAGCCCACACAGCCAGCCGACGGACCGCACAGACGGCCAGCCAGCCAGCTAGTTAACCACCAAGCCACCCATGAACACAGCCACACAAGCTGACAGACAGCAAACCGTACATACATTCACCCCGCCCATGCAGTTCCTGTGTCTCTCCTTCCCACGAAGGCTATCATCCGTTGCTCGAGACATTCTTGTCCACGCTTAGCCGAATGTTGTAAACCCTGACCACATGCATATTATTCCATATTTCGCGTACATACGGCAGGGGCTTGCGGGCGTGTGTAAAACCACACAGCTCTGCACATTCGTTCTAAGCTCTGCCGAGGAAAAGAAAAATACGCAGCGGTATTTCTGACATGTGGGGCAACGACGTATATTCACTTTGCGTGTCTGTGTCCTTGCAGAGTAGGTAATAAATGAACGACAATTTTCAGTAGTGTAGAGTGTAACTGTGTGTGTGTGTGTCCATGTGCACATGGACACACACACACGCGCACACGAACTTGTATCATCGATGGTAGACCATACGCGTGTGCTTTACACACATTACAAAGGTGCGGCCCATGCAGCAGCAGTGACAACAAATACAAACAGAATGTTGTTGAGACACGTTCTTTTAGCGAGCGCCTATCAAATCCGATTTGGATTCGGCGCACGGGGGTGGTACTATTAGCCAGCCTCTCTTCAACACCGATGTTTACACACCTCTCCAGAAACTCATTGAAGGCTGAGTCCACCCCAGTGGAGTGCCAGCACCGGTAACAATATACACACACACGGTGGTGACGCGTGCGTGTTCATTGCGTAATGCGCACAAGTGGGTTATTCTCACAACACACGTATCTTCTGAACGTCTGCCAACGGCATGCCCTATAACGAGGCGATGCCGAGTCTCTCTATATTTCTACCCCAACCCCATCCCACGCTAATGATTTTTTTGCTCTCATAATTTGCTCGAGCGTGTGCGCGTCTGGTTCTCTGTGTCTGTGCCGGTGGTGGGGTGCGGTTCGCGCGCTGCTCTATGAATCCGGCGATCCGAGTTTGAACTCCCGCTCACGGCCAACATCGGTGACAGATTTATGAACCGGTCATGGGCCTCCCCTAGGTGAACTCAGCCTTACATTCGTACCTGATGCAAGTGTGAAAGCGCACCTGGGGAGCCAACGGCTTGATAAACCACCCCCTTGTATCCCGTGCCGGCTTTAATAAGTGCTCGTTCCCGGAACTTGTCCAAATAGTTTGTGTAGGCTAACCGGGGCATCTTTGTCTTTGTAAATGGAGAGCGATGGCGCAAGGATTTGCGTGCTGCGCTACGAACCCTCCGGTGACGTGAAGTTCGATTCCCGGCACGGATGAGTTGTGGCGAGTTGTATCTTAACCTGTTTTGCACAGTACTTAATGAGTACGGTACTTAAATGTCAGATTTGGGCCGACAAAGGCTAACTGGCGTGGTGTGACCGATCCTGGCCTGATCAGCCGTAGCGAACGCCGCGCTGATCCGAAACAGGGGCTCGCGAACAGCACGTTGATCCAACACTCTCTAAGGATATACGGGGCAAGGTGGGGGGGGGGGGGGGAGATCCCTGTAGTGCGAGCGCGCACGTGGTCACGCGTTAATGGGAGGGAATGCAGCCAACGACAAGAGCCAAAGAAAAGAGTCGGGACAAATCCGCCAAGTAAATAAACACACGGGCGCAATGCGTGCCAAACAGCTCTGCAACAGTCCATCATGGCTCAGGCACCCCAAGAGGCAGCGGCACCGCGATCGATGGCGCTGGAGTTGCACAGATGCCCCCGCGGGCCGAGAATTCCGCCACGTGTGCGCGTGTGGTGCGTGGTGGGAGGAGAGCGGTGGTGCAACGGTTAGCACCTAGCTTGCACTACGAAACGTGGCCATCCGAGTTGGATTGCCGCTCACACCCAACACCAGTAACGATTATCTGAATCGGTCCTGGGCCTCTCCGAGGTCGACTCAGCCTGAAATGGGTACCTGGTGCAATGTGTAAATATCGCCGGTAGGGAGACAAAGGCGGCCGGGCGTGGTGTTTTCCACGCACCCCCTCATGTGCTGTGCTGGCCTTCATAGGTGCTTGCTAACAGAACTTGCCCCAACAGTCTGTTAAGGCTATATGGGGGACCTTTGGCTTTTTGCTATATATGTGTGTCTATATATTTTTCGATATCAGCCACTCATCGCTAATTAATTTACGAGGACCGTAAAGGAAATTCCATCCCACGCTTGTGCCGCCGCTGCCCGGAGTATCGCGGCTGAAATAGCGGTGGCTGCGTTGATGTCGCCTGCGCCCGGATAATAATAATTGAACTTGAACTTGGGGGTTTCGCGCAGTGTTGCGAATTTCGCTAAAGTTCAATGGCGCATACATAAATGACGGCATTAACATTCAAACGCCACGGCGAGCGCTTCGCGGTCGGGGGACCAGGGGAGTCGGCGGCAATTGCTCACACCGTGAACTGGCTTGCGTGCTTTCATGGATCTGTCGGCGAAGGGGCACGAGACAGTGACGATGGCGAGCGGATCCGTGGAACCGCGTGTGACCACCGTGGTCAGCGATGGTATCCACCCGGTGTCGGTGGAACGGGAGCGCTCGTGCAGGGGTCGTCATCCTGCGGCTGGCGGAGCTGCGCTCGCGGCTCTTTATCAAGGACTCGCTTCGCGACGCTATTTATTCAGGACCGCCGTCCCTTATTCACGTGCGTTGCGGCTCTTGAAGTATTCAGTTTTCAAAACGAATTTGAACCAAAAAAAAACGGCTCTTCTTGTTGTTACTTTGGTTACCGAATGCTGCGCTCGTGGTGCTACTAAGCCGGGCCGCCCGAGTTCGATTCCAGCTCACGGCCAAAAAACGGTGACGAATATCTGAACCCATCCTGGCCCTTACCGATGTCAAAGTTAAATTCATACGTGGCGCGGTGTGTAAAAACATCGCCACTGGAGAGACAAAGGCGGCTAGGCGTGGTGTTGGCCACTAACTCCCTCGTGTGAAGTTCCGGCCTACCTATGTGTTCGCTCACATAACTTACCCCAACAGTCTGTATAAGGCTATACGGGGGATCTTTCTCTTTGTTTTTGGCACTGATTTTAAAACCCTACATTACATTGGGAAGAGACTCCCCCCTCCCTCTCATCCTTGCTTGAGAAGTCCCCCCCCCCCACCCCCTTGTTTTCGACGAATCCATGACCCTTGTTGATTCATTGAGTCAACATCTTTGACGACCCCGCAATATATCCACTTTGAGGTTATCTAAAATCCAGATCCTTCGAAAACAAGTTGTAAAAACCCATATTCTACCCAACAACAAACCTGTATCTAGTACAAAATAATACATAAGCAGTCTATCCTTGAGAATTGTACGTACATTTTTTTTTACATTCCGTCAAACGGCCTATCTACTGAAGTTTAAATGTGGGATATTTTTTTTATTTGTGAGCTTGCATCTGTCATGTGTGGCGTGTTTCTTTAGTCCTTCGGCCTATGGGACTTCCGGGTCAATGTTTCACAATTGTACTTGTTGTTCAAGCAGGTGAACTTTGCAATGAGGGTAAATAAATTAGGCACCTGTGCCAATCCACTGTGGGATGAAGGTCTTGCCCGCAACTCTCACGGCCTTGCTGGTCATGGGGTTTTTTTGTGTCTTCACGCTGCATAAAAATCGGTCGGTGCTGGTTGGTGAAATATGTGGAGGGAGGAGTCCAGAACATCTTCAAATATCACTCGCCAATCATATCAGCCGTGGTTGAGGATTCAACTTCGGGCTCAAGGTTCATATAGAGCAGTCCATGCCACCGCTCTCTGCCCTCAATATTCTTATGTTGCTAGATGTTCGGATATTTCAACCGCACAATTCTCCGCAACAGCGCACAGTGCGTACAAAAATAAAGTTAGAACGTAGTCTGTGGTTGAGATGAGCTGCCCAACTGCTGGACTTGAAATGAGACCCCCAACGACCTGGGTTTTCGCGGTTGTGCCATACAGCTCTCAGATGCGCTGTCGGGGATGTTACTGCCTGTTATTCGGCATGATGTCCGACGTTTTGCTCCAAGTGCCTTTCATTGTATCCCAAGAATGACCCTGCTCTGTCGCCCGTGTCCAGGTTTATAACACGTGCTGCAACCGCCTATGGCTGAGAAATAAATAGATAAATAGTTCTATATTCATGGAAAATGTTGTGGGCGGGGGGAGAGTGTTTGTTAAGAGGGGGCCTGGGTTAAGGATTGATAATGATGATTGTGGTTGTTAGGGGCGTGTGCGGTGGAGGAGTCCGTATTCACAGGATAGACAGGAATTGTGTTGGACAAGAGGATGTGGGTATGAGTGTGCTTGTGTTGGGAGATGTTTGTAAAGAGCTAGGGATGTGTGTGCGTGGAGAAAGGCGCGCGTGTGTGTCTATGGAGGAGGGTGTGCAAGGGGGCACGTTTGTGTGTGTAGGGAGGTGTGTGTGTGTAGGGAAGTGTGTGTGTGTAGGGAGGTGTTTGTGTGTAGGGAGGTGTTTGTGTGTAGGGAGGTGTGTGTGTCGGGAGGTGTGTGTGTGGAGGGAGGTGTGTGTGTGTGTTTGTGGAGAACGGTAGTGTAGCGGTTAGCGCGATTGTGCGACGAACCCAGAGTCCCCCAGTACGATTTCCGCTCACGGCCAACACCAGTGATGATTATCTGAACCGGTCCTGGACCTCTCCTAGGTCGTCTCAGCCTCAAATGAGTACCTGGTGCGGTGTGTAAAAACATCGCCACTGGAGAGACAAAGGCGGCCAGGCGTGGTGCTGGCCACCCACCCCTCGTGTGCCGTTTCGGCCTTCATAGGTGCTCGCTAACAGCACTTGCCCCAACAGTCTGTTAAGGCTACACGGGGGGTCTTTGTTTTTTTGTGTGCGTGTGTGTGGAGGTGGGGGGCGCGTGGTTCTGAAATCCATTTCGAAATCTCTTGGCACGATTACCATCCAAGCGCTCATCCCATCACAGTCCTAATTCCCTCGCCTCTCATCACGCGTCTCTTCAAATGCAGGCGAATCTCCTAGCAATTGTAAAATGTTTTTTTCCCCTCACTAAATAAGCAATATAAAATCTAAATGACATAAACAAAAAACGTACACACAGACTTATATGCACAGAGAGACACAAGCTTACAAAATATTTGTTGTACTGTATGCCGATTGGATTTTCCTGTATCGATTGTCATCAACAGGAGAACAGACTGACTTAATCATCATCATCATGACCCATTGTCAATCCACTGCTGGATGAAGGCCTTCCCACCCAGTCGCTGTCTCTCAGGGTTCAGTGATGTTGAACTCACTCATTTTATTTTATTCAGATTTTTAAAGGTGTAGTTTAAAGATATGGACGCATCTTATTGGGCTCCTATCTCGTGCTGAAGGTCATTAGGGTTATTAAATGAGCATTAGCGCGTAGGCTCAGTGCACAATTTAATTAATTGCCGACTGTAAACATATAACGCGCGTGATGATGTCATGCCCATGATGTATGTTTTCCCGCACATCCATCATACAAGACTGGAATCAAACTTGAAACCTCTTTTAGCTCAATTATAATTCGATGAGGCGACCTCAGTTCGATTATCGGTCACGGCTAACATCAGTAGCAAGTGATATTGGAATCTGCCTTGCCTTGCCCATCCCTTCACCGACCAGCAGCGTGGTGAAGTATGGTCAAACAACCCCCATAGCCGACACGGCGTGGCGAAGCCTATATCTAGCAGTAGATTGCCAAGGGACTGGACATTATTAGTACAGTGTTGTTAGTAGTATCAACAATATTATTCAACGTGTCATTCAAAAGTTAAATCAGCCCGTGTGCAGGTGCTAGGTGATGACAATGTTGAATCGGGAGAGATTGCGACGGCTTGGGGTAGCCTTCATCTAGCAGTGTATTGAAGGGGCGTCACGGTGGTATACAGGAGGTCGTGGCCTCGATCTCCATGACGCCTGTATATTTGGAGTTTGCGAGTCTCTCTCCTCGTGGTCGCATGGATTTTTTTCTCCGTGTCCTCCGGTTTTTCCCCTCCACATTTAGAAACATGCATTTAGAGTATTTGGCTGCGATAACTTTCCACACGATGACCAACTTCAATGGGCTTTCATTTGTGGCCAGGTCGCTTCTGAAAACGAGCTATACAGATCAGTGAGCCTTACCTGGTAAAATAAAAAAAGAATTTTAAATAGTTTAGTGATCATGAATGATGATGCTGATGACTCAAAAGTGTGCCTATAGTGGATACAGGCTTTCAGTAGCACATAGTTAGCACTACTCCCAACCCTAATACAGTATCAATCACTTCCATCGATTCAGTTGACGCATCAAGTTAGGCTTAGATGTTAATACAAGTAGGACGAAGTAACGGAGAAATGTAGCAGGCACACTTAGCTCACTGAATTAATCGGATTCGATTTGGCATTCGTCTAGATTAGAGTATGTTTATTTAAAAGCAACTTTTCGCGCGCAGGAGCGGAATAGTGTGTGGCATCACAAGACCCGAAGAAATGGCGTGGGTGGGGAACCCGTATCCAGCAGTGGATAGAGAACGGATGACGCCAGGACGACGGTGATGAGCGTTCATTGAAAAATATTTATTTTTATAGGACGATTGAAAGTGCAAACGAATGTAATGAATCATAGACGCTGTTACATTGAGAAACATTCCAAATGTCCCCTTGCCTTGTTCCGTGCACGTACGGGCGATTGAACTCGTCAAGTTGCTCAGCCGCTGTCAACAAACCACCATCCGCTTGACTGGGGTCAAATAAAAAAAATGCCATAAACGGGGCTATAGCGCCACCTCACGAACTTACATCCACGCTGAGTGATTGCTTTTGGCGCACAATTTTCATTTATCCACCGCAAGCAAATCTCTTAGAATAAAGCAAGGAGCCGGGTTTAATTTCTCATGGAGTATTTCTCAGCCCCTGGTAGAGTAGCTGCAGGCGAAAGATTCGACCGTGGTTATTTCAGCCGTGGTCATCAACCACGCGTGACACTTATACCAGGACTGTCAAAGCTGTGAAGTTCTCTCTGCATGAGGCCATGTCCGTTTTGTCACTCGACAGCAAGCGAAGCAGCCGCTTTGACGAGGCAATACATTTCAGTGGCGCTGCCCAGTGACAACTTGGGTACACGCTGTCTCAATTGACTAGCGGCACGTGGTTTTCATTAAGTGCCAGACTCTTCACGTCTTTCTCTTCCAGAAGTATCCTCCTGCCTGCTTGGGACGTTTTGGTTAAATCCTTTTTGATGTTTTTTTTTTAAATAAAAACTGCAGTGGCTGGGAATGATTTTAAAGTTGGTGAGGGTGGGCAAGTTGACCTGATGGGGGGCCCAGTCAGCACAGGGTGGTTTAGTTATAGATATCACACTACAATAACGGGGAGAAATTACAGAGATTAAGCCCATCGCTTTTTTTTACATCGTTCAATTAGCACGGTTGGCTACGTACGGACGGTACGAAATAAGTTCCACATACACGAATGGAAAGCGGTCATTGTCTGTGGGGCATCTATAAACGGATCACCCTCCGATCCCATTTAAGGTACTGTTAGTACGCACCTGGTAAGTAGATACGGGGCATGATTAGCACGACGCGCATTAATTCGCACCAGGTACGCCCCAATCACGTGGTAGCTGGGGGTGGGGGAGGGGATTCCTTTTGGGAAAAACAAAGACGCTCGCGAGTCACGTGATAAGGGGGGGGGGGAGAGGGAAGATCAGCTGGCGGGTCACGTGCTCCCGGTCCGCGGAAGCTGTTGATCGCTGCAGTCGAAACTCGGACTCGCCATGGACTCACTGTTTCGCTGCGCCTTCTGCTTCGCCGTCTTCCTTTTCCGACTTCCCAGCGTGCGGGCGGAGGAGCCATTCGAGAGACGCGTGAGTTTGGGAATGGGCTTTAAAAGCGTCTAAATTCACGCCGGCCGGCCGGCTCACCCACCGGTCCGTCGTCTCTTCCCTACCGGGGGAAGTGCGCCGCTGGCGGCTGGGATTCCAGGCAAACGGTCGGTCTGAGATTTGGCCTACCTTGTTATGTAAGGCGTTTTCAAACGGTTTTTAGTAATTGTTTGATTTATTTATACCCAAATTGGTATATCAGCGTTGTGTGTTTATGAGACGACGAAATTAAAATTGTGTTTGTAGTGAGGCAGTGTACCTTTGCTGTACCTTTGAGTGCCTCGCTCATGGACGTACGCAGGGGTCCATACTGGTGTTCGCCATGTAAGGAACGTCCCTCGCGTGGAAATCAAGGCGAATTAAAGTAACAACCCAAGCTGTAATGTGCTGTTTTGTTGTGTTCCGCTCTTGGTGACCGGGCTGAAACCATCGCAACATTTGAGAACCCAGTTTGATAACGGGAGGTCGCAACCCGGATTCGAACGCAGATTCTCGTTGTGTTGGTAGGCCAACATGACGTCCCCTGAGACAACTTGATCACCTACGTTAGTTTAACTATTCATTCATAATACAGGTTTTTTTTAAAAATAAAAATGTGTTGTTAAACCCGCCACCACTCGATACAGGCAACTCGTAAGGGTTGTCACGTGAACAGGTCGGGTGGTGGCGGATTTAACGACACATTTAGGCGATCTAACCAAAAAAAACCCTCCATTATGGATATTGGTCGCGAAAGCCTACGTGTTAAACTTGCCTATTCATTTTGATTTAAAGCTTTCGTGACTGCAGTAATTCATATTCATAGCTCTTTCGGTAAAGTCACGTTGAAGGGAAATAATAAAATATATATAAAACAATAAAAATTCTCACGTTTCGACCATAATGACCGTTTGCGTTATGGTCGAAACGTCGTGAGAATTTTTATTGTTTTATATATATTTATTATTTTATTGTTTCCCTTCAACGTGACTTTACTGAAAGAGCTAAGCATATGAATTACCTATTAATGTTTTATTAGTGAGGCTCCTATAGGCATCGTAAATGCTGTGATTAGCTTAACTTGCCTATACTTTGCTCTCCTATCGTGTTTTTTAAAATATTGTTTTATTGTAAGTTTCTGACCCGCCCCAACTAGACATCTGTAAAAAATAAAGAGCTTCATAGCTCGTCGGATTCCTCCAGTATAAATAAAGATTCTGATCTGGCAACTAACTGTCCTATGTATCGAGCATTCATGGTACGATGTAAGGAGTCGCCAAACATCCTGAGCCAAAAATCACAAAACTACAATCTGCATCTGGCCCAGAGCCACACGACGTTACACGTGCTTAGTGTCACGTGCGGTTGTCGTGTGATGTGGGGTGGTCACGCAACAGGTTATTTAGAAGTCTGTAGGAGTTCCAGTACTCATGTTCGGCTCCCACTGCCAGGGATACTCCTCCCACTCCTGCAGATTTTTTTTTTCCTGTTTCAATTAGATTCACGTTTGCTACTTTTTTTTCAAGCCGTACTGCATCTACCCGGGATCCTTGTTTGGCGATGCCTGTACTATGCCCGAAGTGTGTACTCTGTTGACCATTAATCTGTTAATCATCAAATAAATGCTGCGTTTTACCGAAAGAACCAAAGAAGATGAATCATTGCAGTCACGAAAGCTTTAAATCGAAAAATGCTGCGTTCCTACACGCTAAAGTTCAGTTGGCTCATGCGTATTCCATGTTTGCTGGTTTCAATTGAACTCGTACTCTCCTTCGTGAATACCACAGGTCACTGTGCAGGTGAATCCAGGTCTGAACAGCTCTCTGGTGCTACCGGACCATGTCAACCTGGTGCATTACCAGGCAGTGGGGCCACACGACACCCTCCACTATGTGTGGAGCACCATTGGCGCGCCCACTGTGCTGCTGGTGCACTGCACGGGAAACCAGAGCCAGCTGAAGGTGGACTGGGAGCAGCTATTATTCAAGAACAGCTCACATTCCTTGCGTATCATTCCCGAGGACAAGGTCACTTTCTCGCAGGCTGTGGTTTTCTCAGAGGTAAGGACCCAGTGGCAGGGCTCCCCGTCCCTTGGCACAGCCCCACACATACCCTGGCCGAACGTGTTTTTCTTGTAACGTGTTAGTTCCTTGTTGGAACACTCAAAGTTTAAGCGGTGGCACCAGTGTATTCTCATTGTAATAAATGTTAGCAGGCTGTCCCCTTCCTATCCGGTTATCACGTGACACTCTGAAAAGCAAATTTCAGTTTAGTTTCAGTTTCATTTATTAGGTATAACCCTGTGAGCCATGTGGCTCTTGACTCGAGTGCAACCACAACAATTACTTAGTTCGCAAACAATTCGGCTTTTTTAAAATGTTGTGTGATGCTTAAAACAATTTTTAACTTTAGGCTGACCCTGCATCATGAGTAAAGTACATCAAACTCTAGGGTGTAGTTTTTGGGATTCCAAGTTGTAAAATGTGTGATTTATAAGCATAGGCTTGCCAATGTCTTTGCCAGACTTAAGATTTATAGCCCACCTAAAACATGAGAGTTTACATTGGGCACTCACTCGTTCATGATCATCTATTAGACTTGTGCATGTTTGTGTGCTTTGTTTTTTTCCTTGCTAGCTGGTTATCATGTATTTCATTTCTATTTGATATTTAAATTCACCATGGAACTGTTGAAACAACGTATAATACCACGTATTCTGGCGGTGCTAAACCTGAAAGGTTTTATTTAATTACAGCTCAATATCATAGTGGAATGGCCTTGCCTGTTTGTGCAGCTGATGGAGTTCTACGATGTCAATGACACGGCGGACATGGAGAAGTCACACCAGATCTCCCCTGCCTACCGCCTGGAGGACTTTGTGTGGGAAGACGTCAATTCGACATTCAACCCAACCACCCTGGGAGTGGAGTTTAGGGGCCGCAATGCCACGAACCCCAAGGGGCCCGTCAACAATGGCTCCATCTCCATTTCTGTAAGGCAGCAGCATGGGTCACATACAGCTGGACTCGCTGTGATACTGGGTCTGCACGATGTAATCATCATTTCACGCTATGACGATTCTCACGATATCACTTTCCCATAATTGTATTAACGTTTTATTTAATTGTTTTTGTGCTTTGGTATACTTGCAGTACGAATACAAATTATTACCGAAGTTTTTCAACTGCAGCTCACTCAACATAAGACTGCTGTTAGTCCTAAGAATGAATTCCATTTTACAACCTATAATACTTATAATGCACGTGCTGTCAGTCATACAGGAAATAATTTAAGTTAAAAGAAATATGTAAATGATGACGTCATACATTTGCAATGATTTAAATTACTCCAGAAAATATATTTTACAAAGCACTAATATAACGGATACGTTTGTTTTACAACTGATTTAGTTTTATTTCGTACATTTTTTTGGGAAAAATATTTAAGATAAATAATATTTGTATCATGGATCTCTATATCGTATAAAACTCGCAGCAACCCTAGTTACACTAAACTCTTGATTGGAAGCTTGTCATCAAGGCTATATTTCTATTGACAGCAGCTAAACAGGTGTCTGCTTGTGTCATTCAAAGGTAATGGCGTACAAAAGCACGGGCCGTGAGAAGAGTCTACCCAAACTGGAATACAGCGCCAACTGCACGCAGTTCCAGTTTCGTGTGGACAAAATGATGCCAAGGAGTAATCGGTCACGCTTTGGCCTTGGGCTGCTGGTTACACAGCGCAGCAACGGCACGACGCGGCTTGAATCAGTCCACACCATAGATGACGAGCATACGCCCTCCATATTCGAGGTAGACGCCGCAAAGTATCGAACGCTTACAAGTCCGCTGTATTTTTCCTCAGTCGGACAGTTAACACCGTGCACACGACGTCTGATTCACGTGCTTTCATTGCGTGTACTCTCCGCAGATGGTGCAGCTGACCGTTTCGCAGCAGAATGCGTCGAAGGCGGAGGGATTTGTGCAGTGGAAGCCCGTGGCGTACACCAGCGACCCACCGACCCGCGGCGCATCATCGCCGTGTCGCCACTACCCGATGCCCCCAGTCACTCCCTCCGTGCCGGAGTCCAGCATTGCGTTCGCGTACTACGGTCCCAATGGCTTCACTGCGGCACTCAACTTGTCCTTTGGCATCGGCGAGGACGGCTTCTACAATGCCACCCAGTTTATCAGCTGGTGAGAACTGCGCGAGCCCAGTCGGCGATATTCTCCAGTGGAGAATTGTTTTTGAAAGCCATAATGTGAAACGGCTGTGTACACACCTAGAATTATCAATGCACATCCATGCAGCCAAACCCAGTTTGTGCACATTACAGCAAGCAGCATCGCTTGTGCTGTGTGTATTGTATGCAATGCTGTCTGTCGAGGTGAGGTTTTTTTTTATTGTACACGCATGCTTTGTGATTCCAGGACGGGCCTGGTTGGGTATGGGACACCAGCCAAGGATTCCTTCTCCGTGCTGGTGATCATCATCATGGCTGTGGGGTTGGGCATCTCAGCGGTGTTGCTCCTCATCACCGCTGTTGTGGCGTGTGTCAAGTGGAGGCACAAGGCTAGAGGCTACGATCCAATCGACTAAACATGGCTACTCGTCCCGGTGCCAACCAATGCAATCGCTACTAAAAGAAATTCTACTCTATAACTTGGCTGTGCTGGGGCCATGCCCAATCAATCTGCCACAGCTCAGGAGGGGCCAGGTTAATTCACTGCAAAACAAGAGCCGGGCTGCTGATAGCACATGCAATCAACGTAGGGTATCGGCGTCATCGTTTGACTTGGCAAATAGCCAGTGGAAAACCACCCATACAGTGAACACCCGTGCTGGCATGCCTCAAATGTGCCAGTTGAAAAGGGGTGTATTCTTGCCATTTCTCATTCAGTGGGCATATCCTGGTTTTCTTTGCCAGTGATTGTCCCAAAATAAAGAGATTTTGCCATATTTTTGTTGCACTTGGATTTTTTTTGACACCCACTGCAAGGTCAGTGGAATTAGTCGCAAGTGTAATTGTTGTAGAAAATTTAAGTAACAATGGATAAAAGTACATTTTCGGAGGGCAAAAGTTTTGTCTCCAGATGTAGTCACATGCTTATGTGACCTTCCTCAGGGATAATTACTTTGGCATTAGAGCAATGTGCTTAAAATAATCAATACCACTTTTAAACATGTAAACCGCATGTAAAAATTGGATTTGAGGAAGCAAAAATATGTGCATACAGAATGTGCATTAGCTGCAGATATCAGGCAGTCGTCGATTTAACTTGTTGCCAGCATGCTGTACAATTCAAAGATGTATATACTTTTGCTTTAAAGCTTTCGTGACTGCAGGAATTCATATTCTTGGTTCTTTCGGTAAAGTTACGTAGAAGGGAAACAATATTATTGTATTGTTTTCCTTCTACGCGACTTTACCGAAAGAACCAAGAATATGTATATACTTTCTAAATCCAGATTTAAATTGTTTTAATAGTAAACAAAGTTCTGGCGCATAGTGAGATTACATTGAGTTATATTTTCTTTTGTACCTAGTTATTCCGTCATGTCCAAATGTTTGTTTTGAACCCGGAAACTGCTTTGCTTCGGTACAAACTGCACGGTTGTGTATGAAGTTTTTCTCAGACAAGTTGCACAGATCACATTCCATGAACCTGCACAATATAATTTTACCAATTGCTTTTTTCTTGATTTCCAATATTGAATTCTCATGTTTACACTTGCAATTAAACGATTCGTTTGTGGTGTAAATGCTGTTTTATGTGTACATTTATAATTGATACATTGCAAACTAGAAAGGGTGTCAAGGTAAATGTATGTCTTTATAGCAAGTTACTCGCTAAAATTACCAAGTTCCATGACGACATGTTCATATTTTAGTATTCAGTGTAAAATATAGTTGCTAATAAATGCAATTATGATTTTATAAAAATGTATTGGGCTAAAAGGGATATTGTTGATAGTGAGGGAAAAAAGTATTTGATCCCCTGCTGATTTTGTACGTTTGCCCACTGACAAAAATGATCAGTCTATAATTTTAATGGTAGGTTTATTTGAACAGATGGAATAACGCATGTCAAACATGTTCTAATTTGATTTGCATTTTAATTGGGGAAATAGGTATTTGACCCCCTCTCAATCAGAAAGATTTCTGACTCTCAGGTGTCTTTTATACAGGCAACGAGCTGAGATTAGGAGCACACTCTTAAAGGGAGTGCTCCTAATCTCAGCTTGTTACCAGTATAAAAGACACCTGTCCACAGAAGCAATCAGATTCCAAACTCTCCACCATGGCCAAGACCAAAGACCTCTCCAAGGATGTCAGGGACAAGATTGTAGACCTAAACAAGGCTGGAATGGGCTGCAAGACCATTGCCAAGCAGCTTGGTGAGGTGACAACAGTTGGTGCGATTATTCGCAAATGAAAGAAACACAAAAGAACTGTCAATCTCCCTCGGCCTGGGGCTCCATGCAAGATCTCACCTCGTGGAGTTGCAATGATCATGAGAACGGTGAGGAATTTCAGCCAGAACTACACAGGTGGATCTTGTCAATGATCTCAAGGCAGCTGGGACCATAGTCACCATGAAAAAAATTGGTAACACTACGCCGTGAAGGACTGAAATCCTGCAGCGCCCGTATGGTCCCCCTGCTCAAGAAAGCACATACATGCCCGTCTGAAGTTTGCCAATGAACATCTGATTCAGAGGACAACTGGGTGAAAGTGTTGTGGTCAGATGAGACCAAAATGGAGCTCTTTGGCATCAACTCAACTCGCCGTGTTTGGAGGAGGAGGAATGCTGCCTAGGACCCCAAGAACACCATCCCCACCGTCAAACATGGAGGTGGAAACATGCTTTGGGGGTGTTTTCTGCTAATGGGACAGGACAACTTCACCGCATCAAAGGGACGATGGATGGGGCCATGTACCGTCAAATCTTGGGTGAGAACCTCCTTCCCTTAGCCAGGGCATTGAAAATGGGTCGTGGATGGGTATTCCAGCATGACAATGACCCAAAACACGGCCAAGGCAACAAAGGAGTGGCTAAAGAAGAAGCACATTAAGGTCCTGGAGTGGCCTAGCCAGTCTCCAGACCTTAATCCCATAGAAAATCTGTGGAGGGAGCTGAAGGTTCGAGTTGCCAAACGTCAGCCTCGAAACATTAATGACTTGGAGAAGATCTGCAAAGAGGAGTGGGACAAAATCCCTCCTAAGATGTGTGCAAACCTGGTGGCCAACTACAAGAAACATCTGACCTCTGTGATTGCCAAAAAGGGTTTTGCCACCAAGTACTAAGTCATGTTTTGCAGAGGGGTCAAATACTTATTTCCCTCATTAAAATTCAAATCAATTTATAACATTTTTGACATGCGTTTTTCTGGATTTTGTTATTCTGTCTCTCACTGTTCAAATAAACCTACCATTAAAATTATAGACTGATCATTTCTTTGTCAGTGGGCAAACGTACAAAATCAGCAGGGGATCAAATACTTTTTTCCCTCACTGTGTCTACATTTAAACCCTTAACACTCAAGCAGCCACTTATAATATACACCATTAACTGGTACTTGTTCTCGCACCATAAAAACCATATCGGACATAAGAACTCTATCTTATACACAAATCAGTGATGCATATAACACCCCTTCGCCCTGACTTTACGGCACAAAATCAGCTCAACTTGGCAGTGCACCCAAGCAAGCTTCAACTGAGATGATTCATAAATCCAGTATGCAGCATGTCCCAAAGACAACCCAAGCTGCACAAGAAAATCGACACCTGGTGACTGCCTTGTAAACCTCAAAATTTAACTCCGTTGTTTTGGCCCGAACTCCGTTTACATGGTTGTGGTGGTGCACCCACTAATTTGGGCAGTGCGAGTGGGAACAATGTCTCTCCATAACATGGGGGTCACAATAACTTTTGTAAAGATGATCCAATATAAACCTTTAGTTTAAAATTGTGTTAATAGTAGGGACTTGCCCTACAGAAAACATGGCACATTTTATCAAAGGGATGGCAACCAAAAAATTAGCAATTAAAACATGCATTCTGCTGCCCGTGATGTCACTGGGCAATGCCATCTCGCGACATCACCCGCCGTGTGATCTCGTTGTGGCTAGTAAGTTAACATTATTGCTAGATAAATACTATTTCTCAGAACGTATGTAAGTTAGACAGCGTTACAGGATCCATGCATATGCATGACTTGTTTCAGTTCAACTGGTGTAGCCTGGAGCTGTTAGCTAGCACTGCCGGCCAGCCGGCCAGGGATGTAGTCCCAGAGACACGAGGGGTCCGTCTCGTTGTGGAGGATCATGGCCTCCAGAGCGTGTGCCTGATCCAGACTTTGCCAGTAGTCCGCCAGCCACTGCTCTCTCCATCTGTGTGGTGGGAAATGCAAGTTCAATATTCACACAATAATAGTCATAGGCTTCCAATCACAAATGCTAATACACAACCAGATACACGATTCACAGCCCTTTGTTTATCCACTTAAAGGACGAAGGCCGTGCTAGTCATGGAGGCTGCCCATATTTCACCCTGGTGGTCAGTACGGATTTGTTTAGGTGGGGAACATAGCTGTGGAAGAATGGAAGTACAATACAATTGTGAATTTTGCTGAACTGTCCTCTGCTGCCCACGTAGCCCCAATGAGACGCGCAAAGGAAATTTCCACAATTTTCAAACAAGAAATGAAGCACCAGGTATGGCACGGAAATAACCTTAAAATTAAAATCCAAGGACTGATTAATAGAATATGCCACGGCGCATTGTAAATACACCACACTCCATTGTAGTGTGAATAAAAACTCTTCCAGGGCCTCTTCGTTCCAGTACCTTGAGTCGAGGTCACGGAGGTCGCTATGTGGCTAAAAGACACTGAGCAACTGTGGCTGGAGAACCTGCATTTGAATCCAGCCCACCAATAACTATGCCAAAAAATAGATTTAGTTCAGTTTTATTCATTTCTCAATTCAATAAACAATTATTACCGATGACAACTTCATAACACGTAATCGATTTTGGTTTCAGCCATTGATACTTGGCATAACCCAAACGTCTATTACGAATCCTTGGTTCCTTAACCTCTTGAACCTTTGGGCTCATTCTCAGCAACTGTGTAAACAAATTGTGTCCGTTTCCAGCTATGAGAAATAAAAATGTTGGTGTGACTGACATGCGCAATCATAATGAACCCTCTCACACAGGGATTTGGACTGCTAGCTGTGAGAGTTACGAATATAATTTTCTCATTAATGAAATTACGCAGAAAGCACAGCTGGAATTTAATGAGGAAAATAAGTAGTGAATAAATGATTAAGAAGCCATCATGGTTAATTCTATTAACATCACAACACCTTGCCATCACGTCCGTAGACTTGAAAACCCAATTATAGGTTTCTGCATGATCTGCAAAATGCAGGATTCTCCAGTGTTGCTTACTCAGTGCTCTGACATGAGCCACATTCCACTTAAATTACCTCCATATCAAGTCACTATATTGGACTGAAAGCACCAGCATGGTGGAAAAATCAACTTGACATTCACGAATCACAACACCTGCGCATTTGCAATGGTCGCGAAACAGAAGAGGAAAAAACGCAATTAAACACGGGTCAAACTCACAAGTCGTCATCAGGGATATCGTCAAGGCTGCCATATCCAGGTCTCGGTTCAGGGCAGCCCAGGTGGTCGTTCTTGGCGGAGCGAGGCTGAGGGGCGGCATGCCTGTGCGGGGCGGCGCGGTGGGCCCGCACGGCGCGCCTGTGCTCATTGACGGCGTTACACACGTAGCACTCAAAGCCGTTGAGGTAGTTGGGCTTGGATAGGTCGTTGACGCCCCACTCGCGCGCCTCCATCGTCGACGCGAGGAAGCCGTTGGTGATCCCATCGGGCTCCTGTTAAAACAAGGGAACTCCTTGTCGGCCTCCGTGTAGCCCCGGCCATGCCGTTGTTGCATCAGGTGCAGATTGAGCGCCAATTAGGGACGGCTGCCAGTGAGCCACATTGGATGGCATCAAAGCACCGCAGGAGCAACAGGTAGTCGTTTTACCCTAGAATGACTTCAGTGAAGATTAAACCTGAGCTGAGATACCAAACGCCACTGATGTGCAGCGTGGTCACGAATAAACGCCAGGACATTAGCAAAGGAGCACAAGCATGGTAAATAACTATTCACTGTATCACTTATACAATGAGCACACACGCATGAAGGGATGATTGCATGTACCACCAAGGAGACTTCAGAACGAATGCTGGACACAGGCAAGAAATGACAACCGAATGCCTTTCTATGTTAAATTCCTTCATTCACACCTCCACGATACCATCATAGAAAAAAAGTGTTGGTTAGATCGCGTAAATATAAGTGTCGTTAAACCTGCCACTACCCGACAGCCAATTGGTGAGGTTTGTCACGTAAACAAAACGTGTCTATTAAGTTACTTCAACACACTGGTGTGTTGGAGAGTAAACCCACAACATTTACAATGAGTACAACGTTTTGCTGGTGAAATCAAAAATAGAAAATTAGCATTCTTCATTGGCTCGATTCACGTGTTCTTATAATTTGAATAGTACTTTGAGATTCAAATAATTAAGGATGAGGCAAAAAAAAAGGCAAATAAATCATAGGACCACGTTTTATACGCATTTCAAATGACTCCAGTCAGATGGTGCAGAGTTTAGAAATTATTACTCACAATTGGAAGCTTAAACTCGATTTGGTGCTTTCGTGACTGCAGGA